CTTGTGACACTGCAGGGCCTCACGGAACTGACAGGACCACAGTGACCTTGTGCAGCCCCACAGAACCAGGGGTCCATTGTGGTGCTGTGGGAACAAATGGAACCAAGGGCCCATTGTGACACTGCAGGACCTGGTGTGACCAGGGCTCCATGGTGACACTGCACAACCAAGGAGAACATTGTGGCACTCTGCACCACACAGTGGCCTCATGCAGCCAAGGGGCCACGGTGACACTACAGGGCCTCAAGGAATTCAGAAGAGGCTGTGACACTGTGTGGCCTGGCTCTGAGCCTGAAACCAGTGGGTGGGACAGACCTTGCTGCTGAAGGGCTTCACATTGCCAAAACTAAAGTGTGGGGTATCAAGGAACAACCTGAGGTTACAGAAGTCCCATTGCCCATGTTCCATTCCCTCGTTTCAAGCTGAAAGCGGAGCTCCACTTGTGACTCTGCTTTTTAATAATGAATGTAAAAATTCAACAAAATTCCCTTAGAAAGACCCCACAAAGGTTCACATTGTGAGAGCTCATTCAAGGCAGCCTCAACTCCTGCCCTGCTTCAGTCCCTGTCAAGCCCACTGTGCTTTCCAGCTGCTTTGCTCCAGCTCCCCCAAAATCACCATGAATTCCACTGAACTGAAACAAATCCAAGTCCTCTTGGGTCGCGACAAGGGCAGGGAGAGGTCACTCAGGGATCACCATCGTGGGCACAACAGTCCAACATGGGGAAATGAATTGAATTTAGGACTGAGCAAATCCGAACAGGTGAATGAGGATTAAAATCAATCTTGAGAAACACCTCCTCATTCTCCTGAACTTTTCTGTACGGGCTGCTGCTCGCGGGGCACAGAGAGGGGTCCGGCCGTGTCCCTCAAAACCTCCCTGGGAATCACCCCAGAGCCCTCAGCCTTCCCTGTGCCCATGCCCGGGGCCTCTTGTCCCTCCCAGGGGCTCCCGTGGCTCTCCCAGTTCGTCCCAGTCTCTCCCAGTGCCCCCGCATGTCCGTCTCGACCCCTGCGTGGATTTGACACCCATCAGCCAATCAGAGCGCGGCTCACGGATGACTCATCAGTTGCCAGGCAGATCCACAGAGCCGAGTGCCCGCGCTGGACTCGGCCTCCCAGTGCCGCGCGCTTCATTCCCAGTCCCTCCCAGTGCCACCACAGAGGCCCCAGAGTCCCTCCCACTCCTTCTTAGCCCATTCCCATTCCACTTCCAGTCTACTCCCAGGTCATTCTCACTTCAGTCCCAGACCTCCACTCTCTTACCCAGTGGCCCCGCATGCACTCCCATCTCTCTCAGCGCCACCCCAGTCCCTGCCAGTCCATTCCCAGTCCCTCTCAATACCAAACCACTCTTCTCCTCTCTCTCCCAGTGCCCCCCCAGCTGATCCCAGTGTGTCCCCGCTCTCTCCCAGTGCCCCCAGCGTTTCCATCTCCCTGGTGCCCTTTAACTCCCAGCCCGACCCCGGCCGCCTGCTCTGCTCCGGGATGGATTTCTATCCTGCCGAGATCCAGCTGAGCTGCTCCCAGGGCCAGCAGCAGCTCTCAGGGAACGTGCTGGCCTCTGCCGTGACCCCAGCGGGGACTGGAGCCAGCAGCTCCTGGTGCTGCTGGAAACCCCCCCCCGGCAATGCGGGCTCAGCTCCAGCTGCCAGGTGGAGCACGTCAGCCCGGAGCACCCCCTGAGCCGGCACTGGGGCACGGCCCGGCCCCCACAGCGCCGGGGGCAGCGGGGGAGGCACCGGGGGGGACTGGGAGGGGGATTGGGCTGTGCTGGGATTAACTGGGAGTGAGTTTGAGAGCGACTGGTTTAAACCGGGAAAGGGAGTCAGGTGCCTGGGATGGCTGAGAAGAGGTTTGAAGGATGTTGGGGAGGGTGGGATGGGATTCCAGGGATCCTGGTGGAAACTGGGAGGGATCTGAGTGAGAGGAGGGGCTGGAAGGAGACTAGGGCTGGAAAAGCAAGGGCTCGGATGAGGTTATTTGTGTTTGGAAGAGTCTGGGAGGGGTCTTGGTGAGTCCCAGTGGGACTGGGAAGCGACTGGGAGAGGGTTTGGGGCTCCTAGGGCAGTGGGGGGCAACTGGGAGGGGGCTGTGGCATCCTGGGAGGAACAGGACAGGCTTTGGTGGATCCTGGGGAGGCTGGGAAGGGACTGGGAGGAGGTTTCAGGGGCTCGTGGGTGGGCTGGGGACAACTCGGAGGGTGCTTGGAGTGTCTGTGAGCGGTTTGGGGGGTCCTGACTCCTGCAGACACCCCAGAGATGCTGCCGGACCCCAACTGCAGCAAGAAGCTGATGGGGATCGGGGGCTCCATGTTGGGCTCTGTGTTCCTGGCGCTGGGGCTCAGCTTTTGCCTGCACAAGAAGGTTGGGGGGGCAGGGTCCTGGGGGCCGTGTCCCCCCTCCCCCTGAGTGTGTGTGCTCCCCCCGGGGCCCC